AATTTCGGCAGCTTCAATTGTTTTCTAAATAACAGATACAATCTTTGATTTTCAAATTATGAAATTAATATCCAATTAAGTGCTGATTTAATGCTGATTAATGATCTGTTACCACAAATTAAGCTGTTTTAGTAACAGCTTTAAATTTACCGTTTTTATCCCCTATTTTTTCTTAACAGTTTTAAGTTACTATGTATCATTTACCATGTATCATAACTTTCTAAAGTATCACGGCTCAGCAATTTTAAGGGATTTTTTGTAATTATTAAACTTATCGGGACAGAATGTAATTATTGAATTACACTATCGGATTTCTTAAATTTATACTTATTTTTACCCTCGTTGTTATTAAACCCATCATTTATGTCCCTCAGTTGGATGAAAACCTCCAAATTAACTAAATTACCCAATTTTCTCTTTTAATCATAATCCGACCTGCTAAATGAATCCATACTAAATTAAAACTTCCAAACCTATGGCTAACCCCTCTAATATGATGACCAAAATTTTTTAACCCATTCTCAAAATGATATTTTTTAGTGCTAAAGAATTTCCAAATCCCCTCGTATAATTTTGTAGATAATGGTCATCGTTGAGGTGGAGAATTTTGGTGGGTCGAGGTCATCTTCTTCGTATCATCTTCTAGTTTCGATTTGGTTTCACCAGTTAGCTTTGTATCGCTGAGCATCTCCACCGATGAATTTGTGTTCAAAAAAAATCACAGCCCTCCACAAGTCACGGGAGATTTGTACCTCAATATCGATACAAATTTTCGTCTTCACCGCTCAAAAATTTTGGTCATTATCGGGAATCTGATGCACCATCTCTGCCCAGTGCATCATCCCTGGAGAGATATTCAAGAAGAAGTATTGATTCACCACCCAAAATTTCTGATGTTTCGGATTAGAATGTTGATTCTCCGATGAGAATCAACAATTACATACGACATAATGCATCAGTTTCAGTTTCAGTTCCACCACCACCACCGCCTCTATTGATTAGCATTCTGGCTTGCGTGATGCGTACAATTTCCACAACCACCACCAATTAAAAATTGAGATGGTCCAAAAATTTTAACACCACCAATTTCAAAGTCTCCAGTTCTTGTAACAATGGAATCTCCTAAAAATCAAGTCCATTTAAGAAAGAATGTAGGATATTATGAAGGAAGTTTTTTGGGTCAGCGGATCAGAGGGTTCGGGTATGGATATAAAACAAGAATGGGTCATTTAAAATAATTCGGGTAATTTAGTCAATTTAGAGCATAAATGGTGAGTTTAATAATAATGAGGGTAAAAATAACTTTATTTTAACGATAGAGGTATAATCAACCAATAAAATAAAGTTGAAAGGTATTTTTAACCCTTTTTCCTTTATTACATAGTAGAAAGTAGTATGTAGAAAGTATATATGTTAATATGCATTTTATGTATAGCCTTTTGGTATCTTGTTAGTGAAAAAACTTACAAGATAATAAAATTACAAGATTACAATTGAAAATAAAATGAAGAAATTAATCTCTTCAGGCTGAGGCGCGGATATCTCGCTCTTTTTAAGGAGATTCAAGCCCACTGCAACAAATGTTTTCACTGGTCCAACAGTAGTCCTCTTTGACTTGTTCTCTCCATGATACAACAACCTTCACAAAGTATAACTCAACAACTCTGGACAAGAGTTGAGTCCAAAGCTCCACAAAAAAAAACACTTCCCTTCAACTAATAAGAACTCTCTTTTAGACTAACTTTCACTCTCTGTTTTCGCTTGTTTTTTGTGTGTTTCAAACCAAATGAAGACCACCACTATTTATACTACAAGAAATCTTCCTAGCAATGAATAGGAAGATAATGGAGGTAGTAATAGTGAAGATAATGGTCTTAGGAGTTTCATAGGTTACAATAGGAGTTACATATGTTACAAAAAGTAATGGAGGAATTAAGAATGAAATAAAGTGATGGATAACCAATGCTAATAGATGATGTAAAAGTTATCCATTCCAATGTTTATTGGACTGTTTTTATCTCACACTTAATTCAGCCAATAAAGCCAAAAGTAATGACATTACATAACTACCAAATCAAAGATGAATAGCATAATTAAATTGATATTTTAAAATACAAATATCTACCAATAATCATTCTTATAACTCTAAAATAAAACAATATTAATATATTAAAATTAAAATGTTAATAACTACCATATCTTTTCTATCACTTTATAAATATAATATGCACAAGTTTAGAGCATTTCATGATTCATTGGTTTCATTATTTTTTTATTTAAAAAATTATTGGTTTATGTGGCTGCTTTTCAATACATGTTGGAGGTACCTAAAAAGAATCTTTTTTTAATGTCTCTGTTAATATTCTGTAAGACTGCACATACTATGAAATCTGCGAAACTGTAATGCTAAATAATTAGAAAACTAAAAGTTTATAATAATTTTATTTTTTATTTTTAATTAAAGATAATTAAAATTAAGAGGATAAAATTTATTTAAAATAATAAAATAACATAAATAATATATTATTCTGATATAAAAGATTTTTTTTTCTTCTGAAAATTGTATGAATAATTTTAAGTTGGATATTTTCTTGAACTGATACAATGTTATGAAATATATATATATATATATATATATAGAGAGAGAGAGAGAGAGAGAGAGACATCCATTTTACTCCAAAAATATCCAAAAGTATTTTTGAAGTCTTACAGAATATTATTATGATCTTTTGTGGATTGCATTTTTTGTAAAATTCAACTTGCTCCTATTTTCAAGATTCCGTACCTTGGCAATTCAATTTTTCCAATGGGCTAAAAATTAAAATTATTTAATTCTAGAGTTTACAGTAGATTAAACATAATCACATATTTGTATTATATATCCAAGTTAAAGAAGATTAAAATATCTTTTTATCTTCGAACTAAAGTATCATATATGTTAATAAGTAGGATTAATCTCGCAACATTTTCTAACCTCAACTTATCAGTTGTTATTTTTTTAGCTTATAGTATGTTTGGATTTATATTTATACCACAAAAGGTCCATAATATATTTACTCCTATTTATAACTACCATTGACAATGTAAAATTGAGCGAATTCCCAAATGGTCACCCAAGTTAAGGAAATTGTCTTAAAATATCATTTATGTTTTATTTAGAACAAAAATATTATTCAACTATCACTATTTTCCTTCAAATATACTTGACAATTCAAAAGTAGCACTCTCTCCAAGTTGACATGACATGTCATTAAAGTCTTTTTCTAATAATAGACTAATTTAATTCATTAAACTCATTTAACTAAAACAATGATCATATTGTTTTTAATTTTATTAATTAATTTATTGAGAATAAATTTTCATATTTAATTTTTTTTTATCATAATTAAACTTTTATTTTTTTATGTTATGCAGAATGCGTTTTTAAAAGGTACTAGAATCTCATTAATTTTAAATACTAATAAACACATACATTCAAAAAATATTGATATACAAATTACTCATGAACTCTAGTGTACTTCAATTAGTCATAAATTGTATAATAAATCAATAATATTAAAGATCGATTAATTATTAAAAAAATTATTTGGGTGCTTTGAAATCCATATATACTTATAACATCTTTTTTTAAAATAAAATAGTAAAAAAAGTTAAATAATAATTTTCTTTTTCTTGCCAATTTTTTTATCAACGTTAAAAATTTATCTAAATACTTTTACTAAAAAAATGTTTAAAATTTTCAAATAATTAGAAATTTTAAAATTTTCAGGTAATAATTGCACATAAAGATTTTCTCATAGTTTTTTGTGTGGTGACAATATATAAAGTTACTAGACTTTTTAAATTACTTTTCTTATAATCTTCATAAATTCTCATGTAATTTATATATTTATTTTGTAGAGACATAAGTTTGATGAATTAAATAGGTCTATTATTTTTAAAAAAATGATTATTTAATGACAAACATATCAACTAGAATTTAAGGAGACTTTTGAGGTATTTAGTATTTCTAATGGATAAAAATTATAATATTATTCACTTTTTTTTTCAAAAAAAAGTATTGGAAGCATGAATTGCAATATACAATAAATATTATTGTAATAGATAATTGACCTTTGATATTATTGATTTATCATGCAACTTATGATTAATTGATGTAAATTAGTGCTAACGAGTGATTTATATATAATTTTTTTTAGAATGTATGTGTTTATAAAATTTCAAAATTAATAAAATTATAGTACATTTTAAAATGTATTCTTCATAACATAAAAAGCAAAAAGTTTAATTTTGATAATAAGATTTTAAGTATGAAAAATTATTCTTACTAGATTAAAAAGAAAATAAATATAATATGATCATTATGTTTGTTAAATATGTTCAATAAATTTAATAAGTCTATTATTAAAAAAAAAGACTTTAATAACATGTCATGTTAATTAGGAGAGAGTGATGATTTTAAAGTGTCAAGTATATTTGGAGGAAAATAGTGATAGTTGAAATATTTTAATCCTAAATGAAACATAAATTATATTTCAAGACAATTCTCTTAGTTGGGAGACCATTTAGAAATTTGACTCTATAAAATTTGGAATCCGTAGCCTAAAGGGCCAAAAAAAATTATCAGAAATTTCAACGGGGCATATTAATTTTTTTAAAATCAAAAGGGCAAAATTGCTCTTAACACAGTGATTTTCTTCTGACACAATATTGATACAGTCACTCTGTTGAGAACAAAAATTGCTACCTTGCAGCAATTTCGTCTAAAACTTATTTTCCACTAAAATCGCAGCAGGGACAGCGAAATTCTAGATTTTGTTCTGTTTTTAAAACCAAAATCGCTACTACTGTAGTAGCATTTGATAAAAATAAAAGTATATATTTTCTGACTAAAAATTGCTCATTTAACATAAAAATTTTAGTTTTTTGAAAGTCGCTGGCATGGCTCTATTTTAAAAAAATTTAAAAATCTCTGACAAGGTACACATTGCAAGGAAAAAGACAACAATTGCATTTAAATTCTTTTTCTTTTATAAAGAATTAGATTTCAGGGTAATTATCATAAAAATTAGTAGTACTAACAAATATCAGAATATTTAATTTGCTTAATGTCTATTTTGATTGATGTACTGTGATAGATTGATGGGATTTAAAGTAAAATGATGCTTTGAAGGTAATGAATTAATTAGGCTTTGAGAAAAAACAGATAGGGTCACACACTGCAAGGAAAAGGAGAAGTAAAATCATCATCAAGTACAATGGACGAAATAAGTGTTAGTTTAATTGATTTTTATCATAGTTTACCAGATAATAGTAAATTGACCTTTATTTTTAATAGAGTAACAACGTGAATATTGTGTCTAGATTTCGTCATGAGCAATTTTATCCTTTTAATTTGAAAGAAAAATTGATATGTTCTTTCCAAAATTTTAACAATTTTCTTACTGACTTCAGAGTTATAATTTTTTTTTTGGATAAACATGTCAAGACCACCTATATTCTCAGAAACTAGTAAACTTAAATTCAAGTAATAAAATAAACCATCACACCATTAATTAGGCTCTTGAAAATCTAGCACAAAACAGTTGAAATTTGTAAACATCCACTAACACATCTTACACGACTTAAATGAACCATAGGCTCACGCGTAATTATTGAAAACATAAAAAAGTACAAACAGACGAACAAAAATTAGAAAAACTATTAAGAGCTATCGACTTTAGATTCTCCTTCACAAACAAAAGTTCCATCGACAGTGTAATAGTTGCAACCCTTACTGCCTGCACAACAATTGGTGCATATTCTACCTTCACTCCTTTTATTGCCTGGACATATCGAGTACGCTATTCTTGGATTACAATTACGAGGACAAGCTTTATTTGTTTCGTCTATAGTCTTTTTTGTCTGTCCTTCACAAATGAATGTTCCGTTAGCACTATAATAGTTGCAACCTTCAGTGCCTGAGCAACAATTTGTGCATCCAACTTTGAACTTTTTGTTTCCAGATTTTGGGCATCTCCCATATTGAATACTTGGATTACAATTACGGGGACAAGCATTTGCTGCATCCACCTCACTTAAAAGTAAAACAGTTCCAGCAAAAATAGCTGAATAATTAAATAAAGTCATTAGCAAATATGTTTAATGTAGAATTACCAAAGATGATAAGAAATAAAAAGACTAACCAAACAAAATGAGGAGGGCAACTTTGTTGAAGGCCATACTTTCTTGTGATTAATAGTACCTTGAACTTTTTTTTTTTGAGTGAAGAATGTGTTAACCTATCCACCTATTTATAGCAAGCTCATCATCTCTACGGGATCGATAACTTATTTCATTATGGGTGTGTTTGGTACAAAGAAAAATGTTTTTCTTGAAAACAAAAAGATTTTTGATTTATTTTTTGATGTTTGTTTGATTAGTAGAAAATATTTTTTAGAATTTTTTTTAGTTGATTTATGAATGAAAATATTTTTTTAAAAACAAATTTAATTTTTTTTTGGAGCGGGATTTGGGGGATCAAATGATAGGAGTAAAAAAATTAAATTTTGAAATGGAAAATACTTTTTAAAACGAACTTAAATTTTTTTTTGAGCGTAGGAGGTCGCGGATAGGGGTGTAGTGAAAAATAAAAATTTAAAATTTTGAAAATATTTTTTAAAAACAAACTTAATTTTTTTAGAGGGGTAGGGTTGGTGGGGGTGTTGTGGGTGGGGTGGGGTGAGGTGAAAAAAATAAAAATTAAAAATACTTTTCAAAAACAACTTAGTTTTTTGGAGGGGATGGGGGCTGATGGGGGGAGGGGTCATCGTAGGGGCAGAGGGGTAAAAAAATAAAAATTTGAAATTGGAAGTATTTTTAAATAGAAGTTTTAGATTTATTTTTAAACAAAAAAATGTAATTTGAAGTTGGAGAAAAGTTTTGAAAAATGTTTTTCTTAGTTTTTGAAGGAAAGTCATTGCCCTTAATTTTGAGGAAAATAAGTTGATTTGAATAACATTTTTCAAAACTTTTAACCCAACCAAACATGAGAAAATTAAAAAACATTTTTCGAAAAATGTTTTTCTTTATACCAAACACACTCTATATGTAAAAATGGAAGAATAAATAATCCAAAGACTATTTGATACCTCCAACCAAACACAAGATATTTTTATATAGTGTTTTATTTCGAAATTATTACGACTTATAATCTCTCACACCAAACTACTCTTCTAGGTAAACTTATGCATTGTAGTGTGCAGATCAAAAAAGTCGATCAATGATTTAATTAAAAAATGACGTACCTGAGATATATGAATGAAAAAACTCAATAAATTTAAAAATTTATTTATGAGTTCGACCATTTTTTTATATCACGTGGTAATAGATAACATGTGATTCTAACAAGAGACGCTTGCTGGTGTTTGCTTGATACTCAATTTGTTCAATTTACTTTTTCTTTATTTCGTTTAAAATAGAATGACCATTATAATAACTTTTTAGTTTTATTTTTTTTGACATGATATGATAACATGATGACATTAAAAAATAGCATGATGTATTTAACATATTTTAATTTTAAATTACAAATCTAGTAATTCTTCTATACTTTCTAATTTTCATATCAAGTTAAAATATAAGTTAAATAAATTAAAGGGAAAAGACTCAAATATGCAATTAAATTTTTAGAAAAAGTTTATTTATGTTATCAGTTAAAAGTTTGGCTTATTTATGTCATTACCGTTAAAGAAAAAACTCATTCATGCCATTATTTTTTAACGGTGGTTTTGCAAAACTATTTTGACACGTGATCAATTATAATTCGGTTCACATCATTAATTATTTTATTTGAAAAAAATAGTTCAAATTTTTATTCAGAATTTTAATTTTTTTATTAAAAAAATTAATAATGTGGTCAATTATAATTCGATCATGTCATCAATTTATTTAATAAAAAAATCAAAAAAAAATTCAGAACTATGATTTCTTTTATCAAAATAATTGATGACGTGACCGAATTATAATTGGTCACGTGTTAAAAATGAATTTGTAAAACTATCGTTAAAAAATAATGGTATAAATAAGTTTTTTCTTTAACCATAATGACATGAATGAGTCAAACTTTTAACTGATTATATAAATAAGTTTTCTCTAAAAGTTCGATGACATATTTAAGCTTTTTCCCTAAATTAAAACCGAAAAAAGGAGTATAAAATAATAATTACAACACTGTTTTAGTTCCCATTTTTTCCCCTTTCCTTTCCACTATGCTTGGGAATCGAATCAATCTGCAAAAAGCTTCCAAAATGAGTACAACTATATCCGTATATATAATTAAGCAATGTGGTAGGTATGACTAAGGATTTCAAAACCTGAAAAAAGGAGGTAGGTAAGGTTAGGAATTTCAAACATTTCGATTAAAATGAAAAATATAAATTTATATATAAAAGTACAATTATTTAGGTTACATATGCAAAAATATATCTCAAAATTTACATAATAAAATTAGAGATGTATTTAAATTCAAATAATCAAGTAAAATATTTATTTGTCAATAGTTCGAAGATGAAATAAATAATTCACATCGAGCTTAGTAATATTTTCAATACTTCTCTCAAAAAAGAAACAAAATAAATATAAGTGTTTGCAACAAATTTTAAAAGGTGATCGAAAATAAATTGTCATTACAAATATTAAAATATGAAGAAACATTAGTTTTAGTAATAAACATAATAGGTACAAGTTTGTTTATTCCTATGATATAAAAGATATACTAAATTGAATGTTTTAAGTGGAAGATAATATAGTAATTTAATATTGGTATATATAGATGCTATCATGTATTTTTTACATTTTGCTTCTTAACCTTTCACATTCTTTATTCTAAAAATTTAAATATTTCAATTAAACTTTTCTATTCTTTGTTAAAGGTTAATAAGAAAAAGTTGGATGAGTCTCAACATTATATCTACCGATACTTATAACTTTTCTTGATTCTCCTACTACTTATCATTATTTTTATTTCTTATATTTTTTTTTCAATTGGTGCCCTCTAAAATACACTACAACAAATATGATATATAGCTACGGAATTATTGGCTATGCCATCAAATTCGTCATTAGTTATTTGCTTTTAGTGACAAAATTTACTTTTTGTACTTAAATATATGAGACACATATTTTTAGTGAAGAAACATAAAAATTTGTGGCAAAATTTTGTTCACTAATGTTTTTCATCAAAAAAATAATTGGTGTCATTTGTTATGTAGTGTTAGTCACGAATCTAAAGTTATCGGCGACATATTTCATCACTAATAATGTATCTAATTCATGAAAAATTATTTTTTGTCTTAAAATTTATTAATATATGGACACAAAATTCATCTACAAAAATATGTTGTTACAATATCGACAAATTAGAGTTCGTAGTTTAATATTATAAGGTTTAGCTATAAAAATTTAAATTTAATTATGACAGTTATTTTCATCATTAAATATATAAATAATTGGCGACAAAGATTTTATTGCCTCTAATCATCTGCGATTTAGTGACAACAAAAAATTGTCACAAAATATATAAGGTGTTAAATAGCGAGATTTAAAATTTGTAGTGAATAATTCAACTATTTGTCACGAAAAAACCATAGCTAAATAAAATTTTTTGCTGCAATTATTTATAATTACAAGTGACAACTTATAACAAAAGAAATAATACAAGTGCTTCATAAAAAATAAACAGAGTCTTTTCGTTAATTGTCGAGGAAAAATATTAAAACCAACAAATTCAGACGATTTTGTAAAAATGAAAAAGTTCAATACATCAATTTTCTTAAATTACATAATTATAAAATGCATCATTTGAAAAGTATACTCCAGGTAATATGTATTGTGAGTGGGACATGATTCTTCCACTAGATCGCTAATATTTATTGTTTCGTACTTGTATTCTTTAGTTGATACACTTTCATTGATATGTATTTGTGCTTTTTTGTATTTGTGTCTATTGATTTGTGATTGATAAACTACATAGACTAATATCCATATTTTATCCATTTTATAGGTAGGTTTATAGAATTCTGAACAAGTGTTATGTTGATTTTTGTTTTGTTAAGCTTTTAATGTTGTACAATCCTACTCAGTACTCCTTCACTCTCTTGTTCTATTATGTAATTATCTTTCTAGTTTCTAGTTTAACTACCTTTTTTTTGGACTCTGTCCATTCATGAATCTATTATTATTGTTCATCTCTTTCTCTTAACCTTTGTTCTTAAGAATAATCTTCTTTAACCACACCCCGGATTTGGTTATTCATAGTTTTTTTTCTCAGAACAATTAACCTGGCAATGTCCTAGGAATTTACAGGTTAATCCATCGATATTTTTAAGAAGCTAAGAGACTAACCATATACTAAGTGATATAGATTCATGATGATATTTATAAATTTACATGAATATTTAAATAATCATAAAAGTAAACACACATGATTTACATAAAACACACATAATTTACATATATGAGAAGTTTACTAGAAACTTAAATATGAAAACTTACATTATCTAGAACAGAGTGAAGTTTTCCTTTCGGGAAACCCGAACGACTTCCAAAGTAACTTTACAAAAACTTGAAACAAAACCTAAGAACCTAAAGAAAATATTTTTATATTTTATTTTTAAAGAGGAAGGATCTTTGAAGGGCTTAAGATTTGCAGGTTGTAGATTTTTTTGCTCTTTTTGCTTTCTTCGCTTTCTTTTTCGCTCTCTACCTTCTTCTTCTGATAATGTCTTCTTTATATACACAAATATGGACTTCAAACTTCGGACTTCAAAATGAAAAAGAATCTTATCTTTTCTGTCGGGTGCGCATTGGGCCCCATCGCACGTGAAATGATTCCTTCCTTTGCATTATCATCCGTCCTTTGATTTCTACTTTATTATCACTTATTGTTTGTCTTATACAAAAAGAAACTTTATCTCTTAATG